TAGTTTAGTCATCAAAAAAAAAAAAAAAAAAAGTTAGTCTAGACTCTAAAGTCTCATTTTCCATGCGGTGAACGATCGATCTTCTGGATTATGACTATCGCTGCTACCTTTTCCCCCGAATAGAACGTACGGTCATTATAGCTGTATTTAGACTGAAAAATACCCCAAATACAGCTGTAATGACCGGGCGATCTATTCGGGTGACGACGGTAGTATCGCAATAAATCATGCGTGTCCAACGTTGTTCAGGTCCGGTATGCCTACAAAGGAGGGTAGGCACACGTACACACACACACACACACACACACACACACAGAGAGAGAGAGAGAGAGAGAGAGAGAGAGAGAGAGAGAGAGAGAGAGAGAGAGAGAGAACCAGAGTGTTCTGCCGGCTACACATTGCTTTTTTTTCTGCTTTCCCCCCAAGGAAAACATCTCGTCCTTTACGTCCATGCCTTAAAAATTAAGGGGAAAGTAATTAATCGAATGATAGCAAGAGAATGAACATTCACGGAGGGGATGAATATGCTATGGGGTGGGCTGTGTGGAAAACTTAAATTTTTTATCGTAATAAGGCCATAAATAGCAGCTGAAGTGATCCAGAGTAGAGAATGCCGTAATTTATCCCCGTGTCAAATTGGATTTCATCCACCGTTATAACGGACTTATGGGCTGCGCAATACAGTTCGATCGTAGAGTTCACTGTGCAGTGAAACGTGACGCATGGGCAATGTGCATATAAATGCAATTACTATACGATCAGTGGATACATAAATCCGATTATTAAGCATGGCCAATTACATCCCGTTGATTTTGTGGCTATAGGGTGTCGAATAACTTATTTCTATTTTAATAGTGTTGGTATTCCATGTATTCGCTAGGAGCTTTCCGATTTATATTTAGGTTCCACGGGGCGAGGTCCCACTTGCATAGAGGATTGGATTAAGCTCCTGAATCTGGCCGTTCTTTAAGCACAGATGCAGAAAAGCAGTTCAATGTCGTTTTTCTGCACCTTTCCACAAGCTCATCCGGACTCAGGCGTTCAATCCAATCCACTTTGCTAGTGGGAGTCTGTGGGACCTCGCCGCTCCTGTACATTTATACGTATACGGTTCAGCCTCCTGACGAGTCAGACCGTGAAACTCTGACGAAACAGATACTAGCCCCTCGTTGGTTGTCCTCTTCTCCCTCTTTGCCTAGGGCTCTACTCCATAATTAGAGCCGTAGACGGCATAGAGCCTACCGTTCTATAAATAGAAAATCAAGCTTAAATAAGTGTAACGGCTGTGGACTTCTACAAGGTCTCATTTATTTGACGGATTGATTGTACAAATGAGCAGTTCATCTTGTAGTAGTTTAGTGAATGATCCAACGGGCCTACCTCAGTTGGTACAACAAATGACCTGTTGCAATACGTACCTACAGTCTTCCCCCGAATACAACGTACGGTCATTATAGCTGAATTTGGTGCATCTTTCGGTCTAAATTCAGCTATAATGACCGTACGTTGTGTTCGGGGGAAGACTGTCGGTTCGAATCCAGATGGGACTAGTAGTTGAATGAATTTCTGAATTTTACCTTGGGGGCCGGTCAGTTCCACCATGTATCTCAAGGCTGTCACCCCCTTTCTTTGTTTTTTTTTTCCTGAAAAAAAACACAAATAAAATTCAGTGAATGACCAGGACGTTCTCAGGGAGAGGATGTTCTGCAAGGACGCGGAGGGGTGAGAAAACCAATGGAAACCGCAGCTCTGTCTTTCCTCGAATATAACGCGGGGTACAGACGTCTTTTTTTTTTTTTTTTTTTTTTTTTTTTTTTTTGCGGGGTACAGACATCTGTATGGGGGGGAGCCAATTTTCAGGTCAGACGTATATATAATGATCCGATTTTCTGTTCCGGGGACGGACAGAGTGTCAGACACCAGCACCACTCCTTATGCTGTAGTCAAACGAAAAGTAAGACATTGGGTCTCGGCGTCTCGCTGCACTTGGGTCTAGCACTCTCCGGAATTCTCCGTGCGGAGGGTTGTGAGACTCTCGGATGTCCAGGATTTTGGCTCATCGTCGTACTCCTCTGCACACTCGGACTCTACAACTATTGAGGGCAGAAGAGGACAGCTCAAAATCCCCTTTTCTCCGCCCAGACAGGAGGTTCACTCTCCAAATTCGGAGCAAATTGGTGATCCCATCCAAGGTCTCTCCCTGGAACGGATTTGG